TTATTTTTTAGGAAATATAGAGTGCCAAGAGCTATTGCGGTTAACCCAACCAGTGAAATAATATATATCACCACTGCTTTATAATATTTGATGGGTCTAACTGGTACTAGAGTAAGGTTGAAGAGAGACTCACGGCTTGTTCACACCGACCGTGTCTACGTGGCATGTGCATGGCGGAACATCTTGATTTTTATTCCGGCGGCCATGTTAACAGATTAAAGCGGTCACGCTGCCTGTGTGAGAGACACGTCTGCAACAAGAGTCAGTAGAGAGTCGAGGTCTCGCCTATTTTTATTTACGGTGCGCATCTCCCACCAAAAGGGCACAATAAAAGGACCTGTTGATAGTCATCCACATATTTCAGTCCAGTTTAAACTTCCTTTTCAAAGTAAAAGCACTGTAGTAATCTTATTTACCACAACTTCACTTGTGAAATAATTTCCGGTTGAAGGGCAGTTTTTTTCCACTGCGCTCTCTCGCTCTCTCTCTCTCGGGTAAACAAACCACATGTGCTTTCTTCACCTTTATGTTTAAACTTAAACTGAACATTTTGAATTTTTATGGACATTATACAGGGAAAAGTGTAGAGAGGAACATAGGGCTGGCAGCAGCAGCTATGCAGCAGCCACGCAGCCTTCACGTGCCTGAGATGCCATGCGCTGCTCAGGCAGCCTGTGTGAACAGGGTGTTAGTGTGGCTATGCTTTAGGACTAACTTCACCTCTGCATACACCTCCATGTCACTGGTTATGGTTGGGATTAGATTAAACAAGAATGGAACAATATAATGTCCTGAAATGTATCTAATCCGAAGTTTGTGTCTGTTTATGCGTGCACTCCACAGGTGACCTCAGCTGTCCATGGTGTGTACCAGGCACTCCTAAGCCTGAAAAACATTCCAACACTGGAGGCAGCTTATAAAATCGTTTTGGGTGAGATGGAATGTGCCCTGTCTAGCCTGACAGCAACCCTGGAGCCCAGTGGTAGGGCCACAGTGCTTGACGGCCCTTGCCCCAGCATCCAGCACCCTGCTTTTGCCTCCCTCACCCTACCCCCGGAGAAGGCCCAGTTCACCCTCATCTTTAACCTCAGCACCCTCACCACCATCGGCAACACCAAGAACTCTCTCATTGGGGTGAGCGCCACTGTCTTTTTCTATGTTGCTGATCACTAAATAGCACTCAATGTCCCAGCATAGGCAGCACTGGTTAAATGATTTGATTACCTATGGCTGTACCACCTGCTAACTGGCTACAGCATACCTAAATGGCTTGGTTGCTTTTCAGGAAAGGTGGTGAGTGCCAGTCTGTTTGCTTTGTTCCTTGCAGCATTTGGCCTCCTTTTTCCCACCACCTCACTAGTCCACACAGGCCCAAGGTAGCTCAACATGACGGAAAATATAGCAAAAAGACAAACATAGTGAGCTGTTCAGTAGTTGTTCATCATTGTTAAGGCTACCAGAACAGCTACAGCTGCTTCGCAGTGGTTGGCTGATGAAAAGCAGGACCTGCATGTGTTCATTTCTGCTCTGACAGAAGCTATTTTATATTGGCCACGCATGTTGATTTTGAAATCTGTTTTGTGTGTTTTAGATGTGGGCGTTGTCTCCTACGGTCTTTGCTCTGCTCAGTCACAATCTGATGCTGGTCCACTCTGAGTTAGCAGTCTACTACCCTGCCATCCAGTACGCTGTACTCTTCACCCTGTACTCCCACTGCACAAGGTAAAACACAAACACTTGTACTGTGAGCAACAGTCCACTACAGCATTAGGAATGTTACACACCCATCAGAACAGTGGTTCTCAAAGTAAGGGGGGGGGGGGGGGTCGAGGGGGGGCAGACAGCAGAAATAGGCAATTTGTACGTTGCCATTGTGACTTTAACATAACGGACTAGGGCTGCCCCGACTAAAGATAAAGCCAATAGTGCGACCTGCCTGTTAAATGCTAATGGAGAAAAAAAAAAGCAGTAATGATTCCCTGAAATGGGGAAATTAACACAGTATAACATCGCCACAAAAGACTGAATAAAATAAATCCCAAAAAACAAAATACTGCGCTCTTTGACTTTTGAGCACATGTGAGAGACAAAAAATGTATTGTGAGGAATTCAATCTAAAAACTTTTCTGTATAACATGCTTAGTTCCTCAGTCTTTAATGGGTCCTCAATCAAAGTGAGGACCTTAAGGAAATGCCACTGAATAAACGGTGTTCTTCTGCTCTGTGGTTTATCTTCCTCAACTGGCCTTAGTGTTCGTCCTCTGTTTGCTATCCAGAAAAATGAATCACTTCAATCTCATCCCAGCCTGTCCATCCCATCATCCCCCCTCCTTGTTTCGATGGTGCAGTCATCAGCACTGTGACCACGGCAACTAAAGAAACATTTCAGCACACTGCTAAGCCTTCAGGGATACTGCAGAAAGGAACATCTACAAAAACAGGGTTCCAACAAACTCACATCTAGCTTAAAACACACACACACACCACACACACAACACACTACACAACACACAAAACACAAAAAAGTTGTGCTTTGGTACACTAATCAGTGAGGCCCTCAGAAACACTCCACGTTGTCACAAGGAAGAAAGCGGTTCATTGGATGCAAAATTAGTATACGCCCTCGATTACAGGATGAGATCACAACAATAACAACATTTTATTGTTTTTCAGGAAATTACAAACTCTAAAATACCATAACCCAATAATAATATCCAAAAATACCTACAAAAAATATAAATAAATAAATAAATATGTGATAAAAACACCTAAACTTCATGAGGACTAAGTTATCTATGTAATGTTGGCAAGTGTGAAAGTATACTTGACTGACTTCCAGCACTGCAGAGAGTGGCAGCTTGACACAAGAGCTCCTGCTCCCCCTCTCTATTTTCGACTTTAATCTTGACTCTCTTTTTTCTTACTTTCTAACTAGCACTTTATTTGTTGTTGGAAATAGGACCGACAGTGTTGGTAATTTCGTTCTTTGTTTTTTGCCTTAGTTTAGCTAGTTTAGTTTTGTATCGATACACAATGTGCAGGAATGTGGACACCGCGACCAACACACAACAAAGCGTCTACTCACGTGAGGACCTCCTCCAGTATCGGGACTTACGTGTTGCATGTCCGAAGGAGATCCCGGTGGAGTTAAGGAGACGAAGGCGAGGAACCAGAGCAGGCACGTTGGTGAGGAACAAGAAGACAGAGAGGCGGTGGAGATATAAGCCATGTCTTCCCTCGGTTGTCATGGGGAATGAAATAAGATCGACGAGCTCTCTGCCCTGGTTAGCAGACAACGCGAGTACCGGGAGTGCAGCATGTTATGTCTGACTGAGACATGGCTGAATGGTAGAGACCAGACTGCTCAGTGGAACTAGATTGCTTTTTAATAGTTCGGGCAGACAGGACGAAAAATAGCGGTAAGAAGTCCGGAGGAGGGCTTTCTGTCTTTGTTTACTCTAAATGTTGTAACCCATGACCTGTTGTCACGAAGGCAGAGATCTGCACACTTGATATTGAACTGCTGGCCCTCGGGTTAAGGCCATACTATCTTCCCTGTGAGTTTTTGGCCACCATTGTTGTCATTGTTTACATTCCTCCATCGGCAGTAGCGGCGCACGCCTGTGACGTCATCCACTCCACCGTTGCAGACCTGCAGACACGTCATCCCAGCGCATTTATTTCAATAAATGGAGATTTTAACCATGCCAAAATCTCAAGGACCCTGACCAACTTTACCCAGTACGTGACCTCTAACACCAGAGGGGAAAAGAGCTTGGATCTGCTGTATGCCGGTGTAAAGGAGGCATACAGCATACAACTGTAATAGATAGATACATCTATTACAGTTGATTGCAAGAAAGGAACATGTCAACCAAAGCAGCAGTATGGCTTTTTATTTTCAGCACTTTTCATCACAGGTAGCACAGAGAAAAAGGCTTTATCAGGCTGTGGCTACAGTTCTTGTATAGTAAGATTTGTCTTTTTGATTGGTTGCCAAACTCAAGAAGATGGGTTGGAGAGAAGAGAAGAGGATGGCATGGTTCTGATAGAGAGGGATTCTTGTCCAGACTGTGGTGGACAATGAACCATAGTAGCTGCTACATCTCAAAGTGTTGGAAGTTATTCAATCCCTTAGACTTGATAACAAATTGTTTTACCAGTACTACCTGTGTTATGACAGTAATAAAAGAAACCGAGCGGTATCCTTTTAGATGAAACAGGAGGCAGTGTGCTATTTGCTTCCACCTATTTTCATGTTTCCCATAAAAACAGGCAGGGAGGGACAATTTAGTACTTGCATAATCGCCTTCAATTGGCAAAATCTCTTTTCCTTATTTGGACAATTTATTGACTCTGAATACACCCTCTGGTTTATATCAGATATACAATAAATGCCAGTAGGGAACATTAGTGTGAGTCAAACATTCTTCATTCATTCTTTAATATGATACTAATGCCATTTGAGTACATACTCCACTAAAAAAAGATACACTTATAAATCCTATGAAAATAAGGACAACAAAGAATGATGGATAATGAGTTACTATTGGAATATTTTAAAAATATCACAGTGATGATTAGATATCATAGATTAAAGTAAGAGCACTGTAAAGCAGCTGGCGTACTTGTCAAAAGCATTTCCCATCATTATAGTGCTTGACCTAACACACAAACTGAACCAGCAGGTTATAAAGTTAAGGGTCCTCTCTTCTATTC